AAAAAAAAAAAAAAGAAAAGGAGGCAAACAAAATTATGAAATTAAGACAGCCCAAGCGATGCTAAACCAAACTGTGAAGTAAGCAAATTGCTCTTCAGTGACCTGTACTTAATCTGTGGCACACATTTCCTCCTTTTGATGTTATCTAAAGTATAGAATTTAAACAGGATGGAATCAAAGAATAAACTAGGTGAAGGAAACTGGACAAATTTTCAGTTGCTTTTATATCATAGGTTTATAATAAGATAGTTATTTTGTGAGAAGTATGGAATTTTCCAGAAAAATCACAGATACTATGAAAATAAATACAAAAAAACTTCTGTTAAACATATTTTTTTTTTTTTTTTTTTTTTTTTTTTAATTTTTTTTTTTTTTTTTTACTAACTGTGGCATTGCCATTGTTCTTACTCATCAGAATGGTTACAACTCTCGAGAAAGGGAAAGGTTCTAATACTTTACCCTCTTTGATATCTTCTTGTGTAGTCTACTTTTATATAGAGAGTATGCCTGATAAACTTGACTTCTGACTGTAATATATTTGCTTATTTGATTTAAGATATTTATTGGGCTCCTATTCTATGCCAAGCAAGGTGCTAGATATTTTACAAATGTTATCTGTGACCCTAACATTAGTCCTGCAAGGAAAGTACTATTTCTCATAGTTGGCACAGTAGGAAACTGAAGCTCAAGAAAATTAAGTAGCTTGCCCGGATTTATGGAACTAGTAATGGCAGTCAGGATTCAAATTCAGGTCTTTCTGATTCCAAAGCATACAATTTTTTCACTTCGCTTCCAGGAAAATAAACATAATAGCTAACATTTATGGAGTACCCATGTGCCAGGCAGTGTGCTAGGTGCTATACATACATTAGTTTTAATCTTTACAAAAGTTACAAGCTTTTGGGGGGAACCGCAGATAACAAATGAGTTCAGTAAATTGGATGATGGATTGGTTGAGCACTGGGTGAACAAACCACAGGACATATTACCTGTCTAACAAGGAAAGTTGCTTCTTAGCTCCATTTATCACAGCGGGCCTAATGTGGCATGGTCTTCCCACTTTTTCAAGAAAAGTAAGAAATCCAAAGTGTGTGTGTGCACATGCATGTATGTGTGTACTCCTAATTTTAAAATAATAGCAAGTCCAAAATGTGTTTAAACAAAATAAAACACAGTGTGAAACAAGCAAAACACATCTACATGACACACTCAGGTGGCAGCCCACTAATTTATGAATCCAGTTTTATAGTCACCTGCAAAGTAGGTATTAGTGTCCCCATTTTACAGATGAGAAAAATAAGCTAGGTGATACAATAAGTAAATATTGGGGTCAGGGATGATCATAGTTCTGCCCAGTATCACCAAAAGTCTATAATCTTATCATTATCATGTAATCTGTACCTGAATCTGGTTTATTTCCACTTCTTTTCTTTAAAATCCTCGGTTGCATTAAAAATAGTAACAGACAAAAAGAACTCAGCCCAATGGGACTACAAAGGCACCTCTATAGAAGGCAGCTATGGTGAAAAAGTTGTAAGTGCTTACATATTTTAAGCTTTTGTTTTTAAACAAAAATTACTTTAGCAAAATATTTCTTTTAGCCATATAATTCTGAGCTTGGGAATTAATTCTACTTACCATTCATTTTCTTTTCTATATTTTGAAGCTATATCATTTAATAATATGTTTGCAAAGGCTTTTGCTTTATTTGTCAGGCCTGTCTTCAAATCTTCACAATCCAAACGCACCATAGGGTAATGAATCCACTGAGGCAAAAGCATTATTTCTGAGGCAAGACTGAAAAATTTTTCTATAAACTTGAAAAACAGTGTTCAAATTAAAAAAACATGCTTAGAACGTTCACTGATTTAATAATATTGTATCGTTATGAAATTCTTATTTATATAATATAAATACACTTTATCCTTTTCTGCTAAGTGACTAAATTTTTTTAATGCCACAGTTAGTTGCATACATATTTTTTTCACCTGTTCTTTCCTTAAGGTATTTGCCAATTTACCAGTAAATATATAATACGATGCCATTCACAGTATCAAAATCTGAACATATCACAAGGTAAAATTTCCCTCAATAATTATTTTTTAAAACTATTCCCGGAGTCAACTTGCATAGCAGATAAATATTTGCTTTTGCCATTACTGATAGCTCATTAAATTTCTAGTTTTTTTCACACTTTATGTCCACATGGTCAAGGATTCTAATTCAATCTTCAGGGAAAAAAATATATGTAAGGAACCTATTGGTTTTTGTCAAAATACTCCAAGCCAGGAATGATGGTTTGAGCCTATAATCCCAGCTGCTCAAAGGAAGCTGAGGTGGGAGGATCACTTGAGCCCAGGAGCTTGAGGCTGCAGTAAGCTATGACCTAACCCTGCATTCCAGGATTGGTGACAAGGTGAGACCCTGCCTGTTAAAAATAATGATTAAAAAAAAAAAAAAGATAAATAAATAAAAAATAAGGATAATGATCCAAGAAGAGAGAAATATTATGCTCTGCAATCACCAAGATCCAAGATTTTGCAATGTATGTCAACTTCTTAGCACCCAAACACTGCGATAATTTTTTTAAATTAAACAAAGTAGTATCAAGAAAATCTGACAAGCTATGTTGTACTTGGTAAAAGTGAAACATACTTACCAACTTTGGACAAACTTTGACTTCATTTCACAATCCACCTTCAATGTTTATATCTGCCTTCCTTCTCACTCAATCTCTACTCTCTACCAAAATGTCCTATTCCTTTTATTCTTCCTTCAGGAGAACTTTCCTTCATGTTACACTCTCTCAATGCTATCCCTTTTTTCTAGAGTATCTAGGATGTGGTGAATTGGGTTTAAATTTTTTAATGTTCAAGGGGAAAGATAACAATTAATTCAAAGACTATCTTAAGTGCCTGCCTTGTTCTTGGTTGGACATACACCAAATAGGCTGGGCATAGTGGCTCACACCTGCAATCCTAGTACTTTGGGAGGCTGAGGAGGGTAGATTACCTGAGGTCAGGAGTTCAAGAGCAGCCTGGCCAACATCGTGAAACCCCGTCTCTACTAAAAATATAAAAATTAACTAAGTGTGGTGGCACTCCACCCCCCAGGTTCAAGCGAGTCTCAGCTTCTCGGGTAGCTGGGATTATAGGCACCTGCTATCACGCCTATAAATCCAGCTACTCGAGAGGCTGAGACTCGCTTGAACCTGAGGGGTGGAGGTTGCATTGAGCAGAGATTGTGCCACTGCACTCCAGCCTGGGAGACAGAGTGAGACTCTACCTCAAAAAAAAAGAAAAGAAATACACCAAATAAACAAATAAAGGCTACAAAGAACTTATGGCACTGAAAAAAAGATGAATATGGATAAATTTTACCATGACGAAAGAAGAAAAACACAAAAGAACATATACAGTATGATATCTTTTATATACCACGGACAAAACTAAACTATATCATTTAAGTATACATACATAGGTGGTAAAACCATAAAGGAAAGCAGGAAATGTCAGGATAATAGTTACCACTAAAGACAGGAAAGTTGTAACTGGGGAGAGGCACACGGTGGCTTCTGGGTATTGGAAAGTTCTCATTCGTTTTTCTTTTGCTTTTTTTTTTTTTTTTCTCCCTATGATTTCAGAAAGTTCTCACTCTTAAGCTGCATGGTTATTACCACCTAGGTTATAATTACCTATCAATCTATACATATGTACTTTACATAGTTTTCTGTATGTTATATTTCACAATTATATTAAACTTTCTCATGGAACATTTTAAACATACAAAAATAGGCAAAATGTACCCATGATCCAGTTTCAACAATTAGCAAATCATGACCAACATTTTTTTTAACTATACCTCTAATCATTCCCCTGTCCTGTTTTATTTTTACAGAAATCACAAGTATCCTATAAATTAATCTGTATAAGCCAGGCATGGTGGCTCATGCCTGTAAACCCTCAGCACTTTGGGAGACTGAGACAGAAGAATTGCTTGAAGCCAGGAGTTTGAGATCAGCCTGAGCAACATAGTGAAACCCCCATTGCTACAAAAAAAATTACAAGAATTAGCTGAGTGTTATGGCATGTGCCTGTAGTCCCAGCTTCTCAGGAGGCTGAAATGGGAGGATCACCCAACACTTTGAGAAGCCAAGGCGGGTGGATTACTGGAAGTCAGGAGTTTGAGACAAGCCTGGCCAACATGGTGAAACCCCATCTCTAGTGAAAATACAAAAAATTAGCTGTTCCTGGTAGCAGGTGCCTATAATCCCAGCTACTCAGGAGGCTGAGGCAGGAAAATCGCTTGACCCTGGGAGGCAGGGGTTACAGTGAGCTGAGATAGTCCCAGCTACTCGAGAGGCTGAAGTGAAGGACCCGGGAGGTTAAGGCTATAATGAGCCATGATCACGCCACTGCACTCCAGCCTGGGCAATAAAGTGAGACCCTGTCTCAAAAAACACACAAACAAAAAACTCTGTATGTTTAAAATTTAATATGTTAGAAAAATTAAAATGCAAAAAGTACACATTAAAAAACCTAAACAGTCAATAGAAGGAAAATGAAGAAACATAAGGCTAGTTTTAACCAATAGAACAAGGTCCCTTGAGGAGGTAGGAATCTTTTCTCTTTCAATTGCCTTTTTCCCCATCGCTACCAGAATTATCTTTTTTTTTTTTTTTTGAGACAGAGTCTCACTCTGTTGCCTAGACTGGAGTGCAGTGACACAATCTCCGCTGGCTGCAACCTCCACCTCCCAGGTTCAAGTGATCCTCCTGCCTCAGCCCCTGAGGAACTGAGATTACAGGCACGTGCCACCATGCCCAGCTAGTTTGTATCTTTAGTAGAGATGGGGCTTCACCGTGTTGGCCAGGCTGGTCTCAAACTCCTGACCTCAGGTGATCCACCCAGTTCGGTCTCCCAAAGTGATGCGATTACAGGTGTGAGCCACCACACCCGGCCTAGAATTATCTAAAACTCAGATCCGAATAGATTACTTCCATGGTTAAAAATCTTTAGAACAAAGCACAAACTCTTAAGCAAAGGTACCCCAGGATTTTCCCATGTGGCTCCAACTTGCATTTCCAATTTCATCATGTTCTAAATCTTTCCTGTTCTGTGTCCCTGATACCTGTTCTTTAACTATTTCCATTCATGTACGTTCTCTGAACACTTTGGTTCATGCTATATCCCCTCCCTTCTCCGCCTATAAAATCTACTTCAAAGCCTAACTCACATTTTACTTTTGCATAATACCTTCACCAATTTTCCAAAGCAAACAAACAACACTTTGTCCATATCTCTATTCCAGTACTTATATCAATACATTATAGTTGTTATTTCTGTGTCAGACTTCCAGACCAAATATAAGCTCCTGAAGACAGTGTTTATGTATATATGTATATGTGTGTGTGTGTGTGTGTGTGTGTGTGTATATATATATGTATGTGTGTGTGTATATATACATATATTTTTTTTTTAGAGACAAGGTCTCGCTTTGTTGCCCAGCTGCAGTGCAGTGATGCAATGATAGCTCACTGCAGCCTAAACCTCCTGGGCTCCAGTGATCCTCTTCTTGCCTCAGCCTCCTGAGTAAGAAGAGACCACAATACCTGGCTAATTTAAAAAAAAAAAAAAAAACTTTTGTAGAGACAGGTTCTCACGATGTTGTCCAGCCTGAGCCCAAACTCCTGGGCTCAAGCAATCCTTCCGCCTCGTTCTCTCAAAATGCTGGGATTACAGGCATTAGCCACCACACCCACCCTATCATTTATTTTTGCAACACCAAACCTTCCTAGGTATCTGAATGGGATAAGGAAATTTTTGCTGAATTAACAAAAGAGTAAATGAATGACTAAAGAAATTACAAGGTAAGCCAATGAGTTTTACTGAAATATTTTAAATGAGAAATTCTATTTAAGCATTTACTTTTTAGAATGAAAAGATCCCACTATTACAAAAAAATTCAAAACACATTCATAAAAGCAGAATTACCACTTACCTCTGTATATTCATCAAAAGTATGATCTTCTGTCTGAAAAGTCTCTATATTCTCAACTGCTGTCCCATCAAGGAGCCAATTATATTTTTCAACTGAAAATTAATAATCTAATTAAAATCTCAACAATACCCTTTTTAAAGGGTAAAACACTTTTTTATATGATCATGGAATGGGGAACCTACTCAATTAACTGTCATTATTATTATTATTATTTTGAGATGGAGTTTCACTCTTGTCACCCAGGCTGGAGTGCAGTGGTTCGATCTCTGCTCACTGCAACCTCCACCTCCTGGGTTCAAGTGATTCTCCTGCCTCAGCCTCCCAAGTAGCTGGAATTACAGGCATGTGCCACCATGCCTGGCCAATTTTTATATTTTTAGTAGAGACAGGGTTTCACCATGTTGGCCAGACTGGTCACAAATTCCTGACCTCAGGTGATCCACCTGCATCGGCCTCCCAAAGTGTTGGGATTACAGGTGTGAGCCATCACACCCAGCCTAAATATTATTATTAATGGAGTATTAACATGCATGGTTTACTATATTTTAAGAAAATGGGTAGAATGAAAGCAAACCAAGTTAAACACAGACATTTTAAAACAAAGGTAATAGAGTATTTGAGGCTCTTAAAAATAACTTAGGGGTACAGATACACCAATTAATCGAAAATGCTAGTTAACAGAAATGTCAAAGAACAACTATACATCCTGACCTGACACACAGTTGAGAAGACTACAGACCAATAAAATTGAGCTACAGGCTCTTCAAAACTACTCTCAGAAATTTCCTTGCTTTTACCCTTGAATTATTCCAACATTTCTTCTTTCTGCCTTTGACTTTATCACCCTGCTCCAGTTAACATGCACCCTTTGGACTGGACAACAAAATACATAGGGTTTGATCTTTGACTCTGCCGAAAGCCATGCCTCTGCTCACTTCTAGTTCTCCCTGTTCTTTCATGGCAGCCCCAGACAAACAAATACCTGACTAAACACCAGCACAAAAAAATGATGAAAAATATTATAATATTATATATGTCATATATACCGTATGTCTCATAATGTTTTCTTGCACCTTCTAAGTTCCGATGCACTGCTGCCTTCAGTGTATTAACAGCCCAGTGTAACACGTGTTCAGGAAGTGCTGTGTCAAGATTTACTGGTGTTGAAGTTCCTGATAGCCAAGAGGGGATTGTTTGGACATTCTAACACAAATAAAAGTAACAATTTAATAAATATCTAACTGTATAATTAAGCTATATATACTGGGGTTTTTTGTTTGTTTGTTTTTGAGTCTTGCTCTGTCACCCAGGCTGGAGTGCAGTGGTGCAACCTCAGCTCACTGCAACCTCCACCTCCCAGATTCATACAGTTCTCCTGCTTCAGCCTCCTGAGTAGCTGGGACTACAGGCACACGCCAACACGCTCAGCCCATTTTTTGTATTTTAGTGGCAACAGGGTTTCACCATTTTGCCCAGGCTGGTCTCGAACTCCTGAGCTCAGGGAATCCACATGCCTCTGTCTCCCAAAGTGCTAGGATTACAGGTGTGAGCCACTGCGCCTGGCCTATATGTAGATCTTATACAATATTTTAAAACATTCTTTTCAGATTTCAATGGCCCAAGAAAAAATAATTGATACAAAACAATGATTTAAAATTGTATAGTTTGTAGTCTAACATAAAATAAGTTGGGCCACGTGCAGCAGCACGTGCCTATTGTCCCAGCTACTTGGCAGGCTGAGGCAAGAGGATCACTTGAGCCCAGGAGTTTCAGGCAGCAGTGTGCTATGATCATGTCTGTGAATAGCCACTGCATGTCAGCCTAGGTAACATTGTGAGACCCTGTCTCAAACAAAACAAAGAAAACCTCAAGTTGCATTAGTTTTCTATCATTCAACAAACACTTATTGACTAATGTCAAAGTAATTATACCAGAAAACTCTAGAAATAACAAATATTAATTGGATCTTGTTCTTAAGAAGCTCACAACTCAGTAGAGGAGATGAGACATGGCCAAAAAAAAAAAAATCAATTCATGGCTACAAGAAAAGTTCTAAGAAGAAAAATGTCATCTCCAGTCAAGAGACTTTCTCAAAGAGAAAACAATTTCTAATTTAAAATAATTGGGGGAAGAAAATAAAAGAGTTATAACATTTTATGTACATATATACTTCATAGAGGTTCAACTCAAATAATTTAAAATTCTTTTAAAAAGCCACATAAGAAAATTCACTGGGTAAAGATGTAATACCTGCAGAGCTTCAGCTATTCGTTCTACCAAACTCAAAACAATATCTTCCAAATCTTGAAAGGTAGGATAAAATTCCATTTTGTCATCATCAAATGTCAATTCCATCTTAAATATTGGCAGCCTTTGTTGATCTTTTGGGTCAAAGAGTTTTACAAATTCTTCTATAGTTTTCCTTAAGAAATCCTTTAGCTGCATGACATAAATTGCTATTACTTTAGAGAGTACAAATTCAACCTTTAACTGAAATCAGTAAACTGATTATAATTGCCTATATCTGATTATAATTGTCTATAATTAAAACATCCTCTCAATCCATTTAGTCTTGAAAATTATCTTCATTCAGCATACTATATACATGTGTGTACACACACACACACACACACACACACACACACACATGGTTTTTGTTTTTTGTATTTTTTAAAGACGGGGTTTCACCATGTTGGTCAGGCTGGTCTTGAACTCCCAACCTCAGGTGATCCGCCTGCCTTGACCTACAAAGTGCTTGGATTACAGACGTGAGCCACTACGCCCAGCCATTTTTGTTTTTATTTTAAGTCAGTGTCTCACTCTGTTGCCCAGACTGTAGTGCAGTGGTACCATCACAGCTCACTGTAACCTTGAACTCCTGGACTCAGGCAATCTTTCTGCCTCAGCCTCCTGAGTAGCTGGGACTACAGTACATGGCATCATACCCAGCTAATCAGCATGATATGTTCTTTTTAATTTTTAGTATTTGTGGGTACACAGTAGGTGTATATATTTATGGGTTACATGAGATATTCTGACACAGGAATGTAATGTTTATTAGTTACGTAAGGGTAAATGGGGTATCCATCACTTCAAGTATTTATCCCTTGTGTTACAAACAATCTAATTATACTCTTTTGGTTATTTTTAAAGGGATGATCAAATTATGTTTTGCTGTAGTTACCCAGTTGTGCTAGCAAGCACTAAGTCTGTTTCATTCATTGTTTTTTCTTTTCTTTTTTTTTTGAGGCAGGGTTGCCCAGGTTGGAATGCAGTGGCAAGACCTTGACTCATTGCAACCTCTGCCTCTTGGGCTCAAGCCATCCTCCCACCTCAGCCTCCCGAATAGCTGGAACTACCTGCACGTGCCACCACGTCTGGCTAATTTTTGTAGAGACAGGGTTTTGCCATGTTGCTCATAGCTGGTCTCAAACTCCTGAGCTCAAGTGACCCGCCCGATTCCACCTCCCACAGTGCTGGGATTACAGGCATGTGCCACCACACTCAGCTTATTCATTCTTTCTAATTTTTTATTGTATCCATTAAATATCTGCACTTACCCCCCACCTCTCCCACCACCTTCCGCAGCCCCTGGTAACCACCCTTCTACTCTTTATCTCCATGATTTCAACTGTTTTAATTTTTAGCTCCCACAGATAAGTGAGAACATACATCAACAAACAAAACAATAAATAGAACATTATATGCAAACCCTAGTTTTGTTTTTGTTTTTGTTTTTTAAGACCAGGCTAGAATGGCAGTGGCACAATCGTAGTTCACAGCAGCCTCGAGCTCCTGGGATCCTGGGCTCAAGCAATCCACCCGCCTCAGCTTCTTGAGTAGCTGGGACCATAGGCATGAGCTACCATGCCTGGCTCATTTTTCACTTTTTTTTCTTTTTCTTTTTTTTTTTTTTTTTTTTTTTTTTTTTTTTTTTTTTTTTTTTGAGACGGAGTTTCGCTGTTGTTGCCCAGACTGGAGTGCAATGGCACGATCTCAGCTCACCGCAACCTCTGCCTCCTGGGTTCAAGCAATTCTCCTGCCTCAGCCTCCCGAGTAGCTGGGACTACAGGCACGCACCATCATGCCCAGCTAATTTTTTGTATTTTTTTAGTAGAGACGAGGTTTCACCTTGTTGACCAGGATGGTCTCGATCTCTTGACCTCGTGATCCACCCGCCTCGGCCTCCCAAAGTGCTAGGATTATAGGCGTGAGCCACCGCACCCGGCCTTTTCACTTTTTTTTCCTGAGACACTGTCTCACTTTGTTAGCCAGGCTTGTCTTGAGCTCCTAGGATCAAGCGATCCTCCCACCTCAGCCTCCCAAAGTGCCGAGATAATAGGCATGAGCTACCATATCAAGCCAAGCCTTAATTTTTAAATAGAATATCAACAATCTTAAAATGGCAACTCAGAATTTTTCACATTCTTTTTTTTTTGAGACAGAGTTTCATTCTTGTTGCCCAGGCTGGAGTGTAATGGCATGATCTCAGCTCACTGCAACCTCCGCCTCCCAAGTTCAAGCAATTCTTCTGCCTCAGCCTTCCGAGTAGCTGGGATTACAGGCGTGCACCACCACACTCAGCTAATTTTGTATTTTTAGTAGAGACAGGGTTTCTCCATGTTGGTCAGACTCATCTCGAACTCCCGACCTCAGGTAATCTGCCTGCCTTGGCCTCCCAAAGTGCTGGGATTATAGGCATGTAGAATTTTTCACATTCGTTATTAATTCTGTCCCTGGCACAGAAAATGTTCCAGAAGATCAAAGAACATGGTAAAAGCTGAGGGGAGGGGAGGCCTGACAGCTGGAGGTAAGGGTGTAATGGGGGACATGCACATGGAGTGAGGTAGAGTGGAATGCTATTGTCTCAAGAGCAAATTGTTAAATATTCAAGAATTTTGTGAGTCAGTTGCTAAACTCTTAGAAGCTTGAAATTTACCACAGTGGGAAAATTTACACCACAGAAATCAGCAAACACTACAAGTCAGGGTAATTTTCTTTTTCTCTTGTTTGTTTTTATGTTGAGACAGAGTCTCATTCTCTTGCCCAGGCTGGAATGCAGCACAACCTCTGCCTCCCAGTCTCAAATTATTCTCATGCCTCAGCCTCCTGAGTGGCAGGGATTGTAGGTGTATGCCACCACGCCTGGCTAATTTTTGTATTTTCAGTAGAGAGGAGGTTTGCCATGTTGGCCAGGCTGGTCTTGAACTCATGAGCTCAAATGATCCACCTGCCTGGGCCTCCCAAAGTGCTGGTATTATAGGTGTGAGCCACTGCACCCAGCCTCAGGGTGATCTTCTTTTCTGGAGAGCCATATCTCCAGCACACTACTAGGTGAAGGTAAAGCCACCGGAACTGAGAAATGTGCACAACGAGCTTCTAAAGTATGAATAATGCTTTCTTATAGAGAACCAACTGCTGGGAAGTTAGCCCAGCAGACAAACATGGATCTACATGATCTTCAAGACATTCCTCATCTCTTTACTTTTATTAATAATCACAGTCCTCTTAAGAGGATAAAGGTAGAAAGGAAACCATGTATATTACTTACAGCGTTACATACTAGATATTAAATATGTATATTCTCCTTTTAAACATGCAAGACAAAAGTCATGGAATTACTGGAAGTCTTTACCAAAAGGGAAAGTTTTTCTTCAAAACTATTTTTCTAGAATTGTATGTCCACAATAGTTAAAATTTGAGGAGGTCATAAATATAATTTCATAAAATTAAAAATTCTCTATTTGTCATTTAAAGATTATTAATGATTTTTAAAATTGTTTCCACTGGATTCCTCTTACACAATGATCAATAACATTTTAAACCAATATTTTACTGAGAACAAAATGAAAATCAATCAATTTGGAATCTAATAAATTCAAAAATACATTACTAGAATAGTTTTTTGTTAACATACTACAATAAAGCTATAATTAACTTACATATCCTTTAGGCATGAGCCAAGTAATCATTCCTAATACTGGCATATACTTCTAGACTTCTTTCATTTTAGTTTCAGAAACTCAGTATTTTTCTGCTAAAATTATTTAAATAAAATTACAGTAGAAATACTCTATTTCAAAATAATTACTTAGCACTATGTTTACACAGAATTTTAATTTAAAATACTGAACTAATTTTAATAACATTATCATTGAATATATGTAAAATGTATTTACCTGATTTGACATAAGTGTGGAAACACAGCTATAAAATGCATCCAACTTTTCAGGTTTAATACCTTCTAGTGCCTCCTTCTTGGTAAAGATGTTTATAACCTTTGGATACCATGTATTCATTATCTTCTCTTCTGCTTTTCTAGCTTCTATTGATAGATCAGTTTTCAGTGATTCACAATCAATTGGACCTTTAGCTCTATTTATGAGAAAAAGAAATATGATTTGAAGCAAATGATACATATTAGTCTTAAAAAACATTTGTTGGGCCAGGCGAGGTGTCTCATGCCTGTAATCCCAACACTTTGGGAGGTTGAGGCAGGTGGATCATGAGGTCAGGAGTTCAAGACCAGCCTGGCTAACACGGTGAAACCCTGTCTCTACTAAAAATACAAAAATTAGCTGGGCGAGTTGGTGTGCACCTACAATCCCAGCAACTTGGGAGGCTGAGGCATAAGAATTGCTGGAACCTGGGAGGCGTAGGTTGAATGAGCCAAGATTGCACCACCAAACTCCAGCCTGGGTTACAGAGCAACACTCAATCTCAGGGAAAAAAACAAAAACAAAAACAAAAACACAATTGTTGAAACAAGTAAGCCATATTGGTGTTTTTGTTTTGTTTTGTTTTGTTTCTTTGTTTGTTTTGAGGCAGAGTCTCACTCTGTCCCCCAGGCTGAAGTGCAGTGGTGCCATCTCAGCTCACTGCAACCTCTGCCTCCCAGGTTCAAGTGATTCTCCTGCTTCAGCCTCCCAAGTAGCTGGGACTACAGGCGCGCACCACCACATCCAGCTAATTTTTTTTTTCTTTGAGACAGAGTTTCATTCTGTTGCAATCTCAGTTCACTTCAACCTCCGCCTCCTGGGTTCAAGCAGTTCTCCTGCCTTAGCCTTCCGAATAGCTGGGATTAGAAGTATGTACCACCATGCCTGGCTAATTTTATATTTTTAGTAGAAACGGGGTGTCTCCATATTGGTCAGGCTGATCTCGAACTCTCAACCTCAGGGGATCCACCCACCTCTGCCACCCAAAGTGCTGGGATTACAGGCATGAGCCACTGCACCCAGCCTAATTTTCTGCATTTTTAGTAGAGATGCGGTTTCACTGTGTTAGCCAGGATGGTCTTGATCTCCTGACCTCATGATCCACCCATCTTGGCCTCCCAAAGTGCTGCAATTACAGGCATAAGCCACCATGCCTGGCCAAGATACATTTTTTATATTCTAAAATTTAGAGAAAAGTGTTGAAGATTAGGAATCAGTTTTTAAAATTATATAGTCAAAAATATAAAGTCAAGCAAAGAGACATTCAAATTTTAAATTTAATTAGTAAGTACAGGATTTTACCTAATTCCTGTGAAGTCCAACAAAATTATACCATCAAATGTTGTATAACCAAGGTCCAGTAGCGTTTTCATAGTTGGATGAACAATGTACAAATTAGATAATATTTGATTTCTTGCCTGCACATAGCTAGAATGCCAAGGATTAGAATAATCTAGGCCTCTGGAAAAACAAAACACATGTCAAACATGATTAAAATAATATACCCTAAACTTTAGGAAATAATGTTTATAACATGAATTAATATTAAAGTGAGAAAACTGGGGCTTGAGAAGAGGGAACTGTGTCACTAATGGAAGCCTTGTATGCATTTAATAAAAACACATCAAGAACTCAAAAGTGCATTATCTTCAGAAAGAACAGAAATAATTTGTGAGTAAGGCTGACTGATGGGCCAGATCTGAGAGCTCTGCTAACTTCCACTGTGCTTTGGTTCAGTCACCCCAGGTAAAGATGAAAGAACACAGTCTTTAGGACTGGAAAAGGGATGGAGAGATCCTTCTGGCATACGCCAAAGCTTACTCAAGGCTAAGTTAAGCTATGCATTCATAAAGATCTCCCCAATTATGTATGCAGAACTAAACAAGCAGAGTGGAGAGGACACCGCTGGGGGAAAAACAAGAGTACTTTTTTTTTTTTTAGATGTGTTCAAAATGCCTTTGAGAATCACAATTGTAGACGTCAGTCTAAGATCAGTTTATTTTTGATTTGTATGAAAAATTGAGGTACTCTTTTAAAAATAATTTACTCGCCGGGCGCGGTGGCTCAAGCCTGTAATCCCAGCACTTTGGGAGGCCGAGGCGGGTGGATCACGAGGTCAAGAGATCGAGACCATCCTGGCCAACATGGTGAAACCCCGTCTCCACTAA